ATATAATTATTGTTATATATATATATATATTTATATATAATATAAAAAAAAATGTAAATACGTTAAAAAATAAAATTAAAAAAATAATTAAAAATAAATAATTAAAAAATATATAGATGTGTGTTATTTCGTTCTAACTGTATTGTGAAATTAATATATATATATATATATCATAATACACGTAGAACGAAATAATATATATATCTATATACATAAATATATACGTATATATCACTATATATATACCTATATATAAATAAAAATATTTTAAAAAAATTATATAGATATATACACATATGTATATATATATATATACATATATTAATTCTACATATATATTTATGTAATATTTTTACATAATTAGGTATCTTAATTAATTACAATTAGCGGGACCTGCCTGACAACCCATGCCGAAAGTAAAGGAATTTAATTTGCTAGCACTATATTTAACCCTATAACTTTCCAAGACACCATAAAACCTGTACATGGGGGGTACTGTTCTACTCGGGAGACTTCGCTAAACACAAATATTAGTGTTTCAAAACAGTAAAATGTATTACAACGATGATATCGCCATTAAAAGTGAAGTTTTTTGCATTTTTCACGCACAACCAGCATTACACGGACAATATTATTGCTGTGATACTTTTTACTGTTTTGAAACACAAATATTTGTGTTCAGCGAAGTCTCCCGAGTACAACAGTACCCTCATGTACAGGTTTTATGGTGTTTTCAAAAGTTACAGCGTCAAATATAAGGCTTGCGTTTCATTTTTTTCACATTAAAATTACCAGATTGAAGTTACGCTACTTTGAGACCCTATGGTAGCCCAAGAATGAAAAATACAATTACCCCTATGATGGCATAACATTTGCAATAGTTTGATAGCTGAATGAAGTACACCCATAATGGCATACCATTGCAATAGTAGACAACCCAAGTTGCATGCAAATAGTAGAGGCAACCAGTCTTTTTTAGTAGCCACTTAGTCACAAACACTGGCCAAAATTGGCGTTTTTTGCATTTTTCACACACAAACAAATACTAACGCTAACTTTGGCCAGTGTTTGTGAACAAATGGCTACTAAAAAAGACTGGACATACCCCATTTGCAATACCTTGGGTTGTCTACCATTGCAAATGGTATGCCATTATGGGTGTTAATTTCATTCCTGGGCTACTATAAAGTCCCAAAGGCAACGTAACCAATCTGGCGAATTTCAATTTCAAATGTAACGTGCTATATTTGACCCTGTAACTTCCCAAAACGCCATAAAACCTGTACATAGGGGGTACTGTCTTACACGTGAGACTTTACTGAATACAAATATGTATTTTATTGCAGTAAAAGCAAACAGTATTATGACATTGACCGTTAAAATGTCATGTAGAACAAAAAAAATTAAAAAAAATCTTATTTTCTCCCATTTTTTTCATATTAAATTATGTTTCATAGCTAAATATTTGATATTAAACGAAAGCCCTGTTTCCCCTGAATAAAATGATATATAATAAGGGTGGGTGCATTTACTATGAAAGAGGTGTATTACGGTTGGACAGACATGTAGCGCAAATGCCAGGTTTTGTTTACATTTTGTTTTGTTCACAACGTGTACATTTGGCAATGTTAGGATTTAATACAGGGATTTGATTGGATGGAATGTTAGGATTTAATACAGGAATGTGAATGGATGGAATGTTAGGATTTAATACAGGGATGTGATTGGATGGAATGTTAGGATTTAATACAGGGATGTGATTGGATGGAATGTTAGGATTTTAATACAGGGATGTGATTGGATGGAATGTTAGGATTTTAATACAGGGATGTGATTGGATGGAATGTTAGGATTTAATACAGGGATGTGATTGGATGGAATGTTAGGATTTAATACAGGGATGTGATTGGATGGAATGTTAGGATTTAATACAGGGATGTGATTGGATGGAATGTTAGGATTTAATACAGGGATGTGATTGGATGGAATGTTAGGATTTAATACAGGGATGCGATTGGATGGAATGTTAGGATTTAATACAGGGATGTGATTGGATGGAATGTTAGGATTTTAATACAGGGATGTGATTGGATGGAATGTTAGGATTTAATACAGGGATGTGATTGGATGGAATGTTTGTGTTTTGCATGTTGTGTTGGTCCTTGTTTGCTGGGATGTCTGAACATACACATTACTGTCATATACACACACTGACACCAATGCACACTCAGATACACAAACTGCCAGATACACACACAGATACACACTGGCATAAAATATACACTAACACACATACACACACTCAGATGTGCTGCTGGCTGCTGGCTGAGGCTGGTGTCCTGGCTGCTGGCTGAGGCTGGTGTCCTGGCTGCTGGCTGAGGCTGGTGTCCTGGCTGCTGGCTGAGGCTGGTGTCCTGCTGGCTGCTGCTCACACCCGCTGCCTCTCTCCATCCAGCAGACCTGCTCTCTGTCTGGTGGGAAGTGACATGCTGTCACTTCCCCCCCCAGCACCCGATACCACAAGGGGCCGGTCACGCTCTTAAATGGCCACGGTGTCTAACCGGGCCCCTATTTAGCAATACCTATCGGGTGGCCCAAAGTGCTTGGGTTACTAAATGGGCAAATCACTGTGGAACCCCAATTTTGTTTTCGCTGTACCCTAGGGTTCCACGGAACACCAATAACGATTACATTCCACTACAATTCAGAGTTTAATGAGTAAACCCTTTTCTAAAGCTCCAGTGAACATCATATTAATCGAGACTGGTGCTGCACTGAACGCCAAACTGTCAGAGAGGGCACATAGGCTGCGTCCTGATTGGTTCTCAAGTCAAGTCAGGGGAGGCGAAGGAACAA